TTTATCAACTAAATTAGCTATATTATGTACGTTCTTCACTCTAGTTTTATTCAAGATTGTGGTAGGATAAAAATTTGTTCAAACGTGATTTCAAGATTTTTTACTGTGGAATGGCAATTACATTGGTTGCACAATGCCATTGTGGAATTATTTCAAATACAAACGAAAAGCGAACAAGTATTCAGGTCATCCTAATGATTTTGATTTAGTTGAATAGTAAAAAAGTTGAAAAGTGAAATGTACTATGGCCCAAAATATCTTAGCAATAAACAATGGACAAATATAGAACATGTGACCAACATTTAATAAACTAACTGCAACAGATTACAAATCGTATTTTGATCTGAGAGGTATTTTAAGTTTTGGCATACGCCTTTTAAAATACTTTTAAAGTTGTACAGTATTTCCAATGACAATTTTGGCAAATAATTAAACTAAATATTTGTTTGGTTCGGAATTAGATAAAAAGAATGAACACAACTAATTAGGTTATTCCACACAACGAAAATCTGCACATAGCTTATTAATTTAATTGTAAAAATTTAATGTTTGTCAATCGTTCATTTCTTCAACCACCAACATATCAAGCAATTATTATAATTCCCAACTACGCGCAGCTCCCTGAGCATTTCCTATCATGTTGACGAAGATTACAATAGTGTTAATGTATAAGAAAACAAATTGGAATGTTAGAGTATTTGCATTTTTAATGCTGCAAGAAATGTTTATAAATTGCCGATTCAAGAACTATGTAGGGATAATTTTTCCTCTCTTTGTACAATCGCATGTTTTAAAAGAACTGAAACGCTGTGAGTTGCGATGAAAGTATTTTAACAACTATACACGCTTAGATTCCAGAAGTAGCTCGCATTCCAGGCATCGTTGTAGGGTTCGTTGATGGAATGGAATTGTGGCTACGTAATGTTAAAGGCCTGTTCACACCGGCGTAGCCCGACGTCTGCAGACGTATTCGGTGTATTAATACGTTGACCGTGCACTGTTCACACCGCAGCTACGTCTGACGGCTACGTAGCCGGTGAGCCGGCTGTTGTTGGTTTATTTTATTATAATATTTTTTTTGTAATTTTATTGTTTATTTTTATTAGCGTTTTATGGATTTCAGTTAAGATTGTCACGGTTCAATTGCTGCTTTTATAGTATACCCTGAAAAGTCTGTTGATTAATGAGTTAATGTTGATAAACATGTTTCACTCTAATTTTAGGCCGTATATACAGTAGTAGACTATAAAACTTGTGATATATTATAATATAAAATAAATATTATCAGAAAACATGCAATAATTTTGCTCATCCATGGATTACATGATAAAATATTCTATGGTGTAAGTAAGACGTAGGCCTATGTCTAAAAATAATTCATTAATGTTTCATAAATATCAGCCCACAATATGAACCATAATAAGCCATAGAGAGACTTTTTTGATAAGGAGATTTACAAGCAAAATGTTAGTGAACATTAGGTACTCGTATGATGAAGTATTATTATATTGATCATATAAAGTTTTCTTGGTTGTTATGTTATAGCATTGAGTATAAACCTGTTATAGTGATTTAATGATTTTTTAAAGTGATTCTTAATTTTTGTGTTATAATCCAACATTTACCGCTTAAATAAATTTATTATAAGGTGGAGGGAGGGTGGCGGTGACAGTCCGGTGTGCTAGTGCGCATGCGCGTATTCGGCGATGCGAGCTACGCGTAGCTAGCCGGCGTAGCGGCAGCGCCGTAGCTTCCGTAGCTCACGTATTAATACGCCGGTGTGAACACTCTCTATGAATTACATTAAGAGCTACGTCAGCTACGTATTCCGAAAAAGTATTAATACGTCTGGCTACGCCGGTGTGAACAGTCCTTAAGTGTTCGGCTGGGATCGAATAACAGTTGAATGCGTTTATAAGTAGCCTATCTGGAATGGAATACTAGAAACCTAATTTTAACTATGATTATTTTGGAATGTTTTCGCAATGATTGCAATCAGTCCACCAGTTATTATTGGTTGCAAAGTAAATCGCAGGTTAAACAGATCTTTTTATTTATTTCCAATTAACGAGAAGGCTTCTTTCATTATTTAAAACAATGGTCGTAAACACCGCAAATTAACTTTAAAATAATACAGTTATTATTATCAACTAATAAGAACCCCTAATCTCTATGTAATAAATTGAAACTGTCCTGGCAATTTGTACACGTCTACAAGTAAAGTTTTAGTTTACGCGGCCAAACTGTAATTAAATTAACCGAGTTAGTATAAGTTTCTAAAGTTTAAGTCATTTTTTTTACAGTAAGCTCCACACGTCTAAATAGCGTCATATTGCTCGTCTATACCATGTCTATACAGCATAGCCATAGAATAAATAAACACCACTGGCTCTATCAACACCAAGATATCAATGGGGTTATGCGAGAGGTATTTACATCTGTTTATAACAGCTGATTTTACTTCCTAGGGGATAAATAGCGTTTACTCGGTTTACTCCCAATGCTACTTTAGACCCGCAACGCAAGTATACAAAACGGCTGTTTTCTCTCTGGTTTGACGATGTTTTCGTCATACTGCAGCAAAAAAGCCGTTTTTAACGAATGCGTTGCGGTAAAGTGGCATTCGTTTTTAGCCCCTAGGGAGTAAAAATCAGCTGATGTCAACTTAGTTGTAAATTTCGATTACAATCGCATGTAACAAAAGCATTTATCGATTGGAAGCATTTATCGATTGGAAGCATTTATCAAATTAAATTGGAAAACAAGTTAGAAGTAGTTTTTTTTAGGCTACTTTAAATGAAAACTATTTAGTTTTGTAACTTAGTTGTTAAAATAATGGTGCAATATGACGAAAAATATAGTTCATCACACGGTCAAAAAGTGGCTTTTCAACCCTCGTTCATTTTCCGACCTCGGCTTCGCCTCGATCGTAAAACTTGACCTCGGGTCGAAAAGAGTCACATTAGACCCTAGTGATGAAATTTACAGTACTATTAGTTCCTCAATTGGGTGGAGTTACAGAAATAAACAACTGACTCACTTTCATCCTCTGTCAAACTTATGGATAAAATATAAATGACAATTTAAGGTACTGTAGTTTGAGTATCAAAAGTTGATGTTATTAAACTCACTATTTGACAAGTTTTTAGTAGATTGGTATTTTTTATTTTAGTGCCAAATTTGAGATCTCCTCGGTCTGTCCTTGTAAAATCTGAGTCGAGAGTTTGGAAGTAGTGTGTTCTCCCTCTGTCAACAAACAGCTGCCCCATATTACACCCTGCTACAAGACAATGTGGATTCCATAGCCTATTTAGAAGTACAACTCGTTCTTTGGTGCTCTTGCTCTTCGATTTTTGTGAACCAATACCCGTGAATGTCCCGTAGTACGGTGGTGGTAACACGCATCGTATGGCGGTTCTTGTGTAATGTACCTACGGAATCAACTGCGTTAAATATGTCGTATTTGATATTCTCTGAACACGTTTGCTTAGGTTAGGCCTAACTATGGATATATTTTAATTTTTACAATGTCAAAAAGTAAAATTCAATATTTCAGAATTCCGTTAATGTCCACAACTAAATTATGGAGGCTATATAAAAAAAAAACTACAAGTTCATAAAAAAAGTAAGAATAAAGTTCAATGAAACCACCACACTGAAGGTATTTTTGAAGTAGTTTTAACCGAATTCGGTCTTAACCCCGGGCTAACCGAAACGGCTCCATAAAATAGTACAGGGCTAAAATATAAGTAATACAATACCAATGCTTTAGTAACTTCAGTTCTTTAGTTTAAAGTATTTTCCAACCCATTGTAACATTTCTCTCTATAGGTAAAAAATATACTGTATTATATCGACATTGTTTTAAATTTATTTTTCAACTCACCGTGGCTATTTTTAGCATATGACGGGTTAACCGAAAAATTAATTATCCGAAACGGCTCTCCCCCCTTTATTTCGGTTAACCGGGGTTCTACAACAAAATTTTCCATTTAATCCCAAGTGGAGAATTTTTTTCCAAAGTTAATGCGGCAGAATCGTTCACCAACATTTTTTTATCTTGTTTGGATGTTATCGATAGATTTCTCAATTTAGAAATTCTAGACGTATCGTGAGGGTGCGGGCCTGCGGGGTGCGGACGCGTGCAGGGCGTGAATGAAGTCTCAGCCCGGTGACCTTGTACAAGGACGTGGAACCTGTTCTGAGGGGGGGGGCGCCGCCCAAAACATCCGGTCAGGAATGCCGAATGCCGCCGCGGCGTCAGCATGGCACCCACTATTGTCTATGTGCCACAAAGGCTGCTGCCGCTATTGTCTATATCTGTAACTAGAGAGTAATCCAGATCTCATGTTTCAAGGGAAATCTCTTTGCCAGTAAATAAAACTACCCTACCTTTTTTAACACTTCATTTGGATTTTACTTGTGACTTTTTGTCAAAAGAAATTTCCAGTGCAAAGACAAATAGTTTTGTCATAAAGACAAGGTATCACTAAGGGAGTATGTTTTATCTATGGTATCATTTTCTCTTGAGATAGGTGGCTGCTAAACCAAAACCATATGATTAAGCAAATCTCAATTTTTTTGTGATTTGGCAGGATTTCAATACAAGCTTCCAAGACAGGCCTTTGTTTATACCTAGAGATCATTTGTCCCGAAAATTCAATCTTTACGAATATAAGAACATCTGCAGTTGAATCTGTTGAATTTGATTAAACATACACTTGGCACAGTTTACGTCGCGGGTGTCACCTAGGCAGCCAGTTCATCCAGGTGATTTGGTAAATTGCCTCAGATTTACTAACAATTTGTTCAGGATTTAACAAGAGCAGAAAAGTTACAATAATCTCGAAGCTAGAGCTATTTCAGCCTTTTTATTTTGGCTAATTTACACTTAATTACGTCCGCTTCTGGTTAAAATTTATGTATTTCACTTTTGCCTGAAAACAAATCCCCGTACCAAATTTTGTGTTGTTAGTACAATGGTAGTCTCTGTTGTGCAGATGAGGCCAGGTCGTATGCCAAGTGCAAGGATGTCCCGACAGCAGCGGCAGTCAGCGGAGGCAAGTGGAGAAGAGAGAGACGGCCCAGACCACCAGAGTACCCTCACAAGTCTAGCTCTGGGTAGGCGATAGTTGTATTATGGCTGTTAATTTAAGTACACATTCTGTTCCTCTTCATGCCAAAGTTGTAGCCAGTTTTAGAATATAAAGTAAAGTAATTAAATTGAGCCGTTGATAGAGTGTGCTGATGTAAATCACTATTCCTGTTTAATACGCCAACTTTTTAAACGAACCCAACTAAATGATAAACTTGCTGTAAACGTGGTTTATAACACATAAACTATGTACAGTAGACCCCCTCTTAACCGACATCGCATGAACTGATAATCGGATTATCCGCCCTCTCTCGTAAAATATTACAGTTTGTTTTAACCAACCTTGTTTTGAGAGCGGTTTGGTTTAAACGCCGCTTTCAAGGAATCTCGCCATTTCCGCTCGGCGATGGGTACAATACGCTAAACTGTACAGGATGTTCGTAAGAATATGTTATTTTATATTTATCCTAAAAAATATTGCATATTGTTAGAAATAAACTTCCTCTCTCGTAACAAAATGGTTGCTTGTATCTTTAAATTTGACAGCAAGTTATGTGCTGTATTTAGTGTATTAGTGGATTTGAAAGTCAATTAATACTACTAACGGTTATCCGACCTAGGTCAGCTCCTGTTAGGACCCCAGTTAAGCTGTCTACTGTAGTATTCAAAAATAACCAATGGTGGAAAATCAAATACAGTAGAACCTCTTTAATCCGAACTAATTGGGACCGGGGGTAGTTCGGATTATTGAATAGTTTGGATTACAGAACATATTGTAGTTTTTACATAACAATTGTTATGTAAAAAATGCTTTATAAAGTAAAATACAGTGTTTATTTAATACAGTAGTAAACATAGGGAATAAACAGTACGGTACATTACAATAGAAACAATTACGGTGCCTATACCAATAAATACAGTATACAATGAAGAACTACTGTTCTGTGTACAGAGTATGTATGTGTCTGAGTATAGGGGTTCAGATTAGTGGACGTTCGAATTACGGGGGTTTGGATTAAAGAGGTTCTACTGTATTGACATTAACGCAACTCATTAACTATGAGCGGCTCATTCGAACTATATCCTCCTGCAGTAAAAAACTAGCATAAACTAGTTCAAATCACTACTGATATTACATACAAATTATGATCATTTACCTTACTTTACAAAACAATGACAGAGAATAAATTAAATGTAGCTTGTACAAAATTGTCTTGTGTTGTAGGGTTCATAGTGAGCCGATAGACATGTCCACGAGGCGGCCGCGTGGATCTCCCCCCTCTTATACACAGTCCCTGTGCTACAGCAGACGACCTACTGTCATCACTACCGTGGCACAGACCTCTGGGGTTGTGGGTGAGTCAAACACATCTATATATAGCCTAATGATCCTATGTTTGACAGTGGTTTTGATTTGTTACCATCAAAAAGGCATTCAAAAGTCATACACAGCAAAATGTACATTCTAAATAACTAATTGAAATAACACCCTCAGGTTTTGACAACTTTTTCATGACATTACACATATATTTTCAAGCTTTAACTACAATATGTATGAGATTACAATTGCTTTTATGAGATAATTAGTTGGAATCCAGTTTGAATTGCCTCATTAGTCCAGGTGGTCGGTAGGAGCTATTGTTGGTAAACCTTAAGGGATCTTAATCTCTCACCTGCCTCCTAACTGGGCAAACTTTAGGTAGTAGTTTGAAGTTATAAGGATTGAGATTTGTAAATCCTGATCTTAGACTTGTTCATCAGTTGGTAAATGTATGGCCCTTGGCAGCTCAAATCAGAGTGGCCGCTCTTCTTTGTATAGACCTGAAGGAGTTTAGCAACACATGGTATTGCTTTAACTCATTGAAATCAACCTTTGTTTTTTTAGATAAAAGGAGACTTGCTAATAAATAGGTCCTTTTTTATAGTAAACTTGGGGTCTGAGCAGTAGTCTTTTATTTTATTTTGGGTTGGGTTAAAAATATTTACCTTAAATTTTGGAAACAAAGTTGCTGTACTACTATTGGTTTAAACAAAATAAAATTTGTCAGTTTCCCCTGCGGTCTCATTTTAATTTCCCTGTCTCTAGCAACCACAATAACATCATCAATGTCCCCTGCGGTTACAGAGTCATCATCATCCTCTCCCACGATTGTGGAGAAATTAAATTGTTACACACAATAGACTGACTCGCAGCCTCTAAACCTATGGCTCTATCGTTTCCAATTACTAGCAGGAGTTTTAAACCACCAAAGTAACTTGTTACACACCACCTCCGCACATAAATTTTAGAAACTTATGGGGCTGTTTGGATCAGGTTCGGCCCATATCTTTTTAATTAAAATTGATCATTGCGTCCCTTATAATATATATATATATATATATTAGTTACGATCATGATATTAAAGTGTTAAATAATAATACCAAAGTTCATTCATCTTGTACCAATGTAATTGCTGTTGAGCACTTCTTAAACGGTAATGGGTCTAAAATTTGATAATTTTGTATTACAAATTAAAGAACATTATTAAAGTTTGTTTTTTAGTCATGTTATTACAAAGTAAAGTACCCATAAAATTTAAAGTTAATCAGACAAAAACTTTAACTTCCACTGTGTATTTTTTTAACTTGTTTTGCTAATGCTAATCCATCTTGTTTTTTTTTTATTTAGAAGAAGGAGGAGTATGTGATCCAGTGATTGACGAGCACTTCAGACGATCGCTAGGGAAGGATTACATGTCCGTGTTTGCAGACACAGGGAAACAGAAGAAGTCAACGAACACAGTTGCAGAACCTGAGGATGCTTCTGACCTTCCAACACCCTCATCCCTCTCTGGTTGGTTTGAATATTGAATATAAACGTTTGCTTGGGTACTGTTAATTAAGTTTTAAACAAACAGATTACATAAGGTATAGTGAACAAGTAATTTTTTGAGTGCAAACTGTTAACCTGTTGAACTCTAAAGGCAAGTATATCAAACACAAGAGTAACATAACCAAACTTCCACTTACAACTATCTTTGCGAGTACAACGCTGCACAACTCAACTGAATCGGCTGAAAGCTATACACTACATGGGCTGATCAATGGTCCAATCTAAGGTGTTGTCTCTGGCCAGATCTGGTGGTCTAGGAGTTAACTTGTCTATAGCAGTGCTTTTTGGGGCTCAGGTGTAGGTTTTTGGGATGAATAGATTCTTTATAAGTTACACATCGGACCTGGCGAATTTCTGTTCATAATATGAGGAAATAACATATGAAGATAGTCATAATTAAATCACTAAACCATTCTTGGCAGTTTGACGAGCCTTCCTCGTCACTCGTATAAAGACATTGCTGCGGTTTGACGAGACCTACTAAGTGAGCGCTACAGATACAGATGTATTGTTTTCAAACATGCATGTCAATGGAAAATTTTTTTTATGTTACGTCATCTATGATTAATGGTATAGGTAATTTTTAGATCGTAATAAAATATTAAATTATATTTATTGTTAGAAGGTTCATTCCGTAACTTTTATATCTTAGTTTTAGTTAGGAAATGTAATTTAAACCACTTTTTTTAACAATGCGTCTGTGTTGAAGTAAAAGTTTATGATTGAATAGGTTGTTATATGGTTGACTTTTTATTATTTTTTGATTGCTTATGACAGCAAATCAATGGCAAATAAATTTAAACAGAAATTAGTTCATGCCGGGTCGCTGTTTTATAGTTAAATGAGTTTCAGTTAGATCCTACAAAATTTGGTGATTTAGAAAAAAACATTTGAGCAGAGTCCCGAAGGCGTTTAAAAACCCCACATTGAAAAGTTAAATACATAAACCCTGGACCCGTTGGTAATGTTTTTATTTACAAGTTGGTTTGATTTTCAGTGGACGACCACTTTGCTAAAGCGCTGGGAGAGACTTGGCTCAAACTACAGAAAGGGGAAACTTCCTCAGATTTGAGACACAGGCCGGATACTGTAGCTGCCGTCACTATCTAAACTTGAGTCTGCCGCCTCGCTCCATGCCAAAGCTCCAGTCATTCTTGCTCGTTATTTTTTAAATATTATGTTTAGTGGTTAAGTTGTCTATGTTCAAAGTTTTTGAATTTTAAAAATTCAGCGCAATTTTTCATTTTGTATTATGGTTTAACCTCAAGATTGTCAGGGTTAAATAAAGGTTTGCAACCAGAGTTACTTGTCAGAATGATCTGTTATAGAATAAACTGCAGCCTTTATGTGCTGGCGAAAAGGAGCATGTCTTTAGAAAAGAAGGTTGAAAAATCCTCGTTTTATGTTCCGTGTTATTTTTATGATTTAAAAACTTCAGACACTCCACCATGAGAGATTGTTTACAAAGATTATTTTCTTGTAGTTGATTTACGCTACAGCAGATCATTGTGATAGCAACACTGGTAACACTGGTTGGTTTATTAGACAATTTGTCTGTTTGATTGAGACGTTTAGGATTAATATGCATGTTTTGTGTTCTCCACTACATTGTGAATGGTTATTTATATTTTAAGGTTAGAAAGTTAATTTTTCTAACTCTGAGAAGTTATATATGTGCATTATTCGGATGGTTAAATTTTATATTTCCGACAATTATAAACAATTCATTTGTAAAAGGACTTAGGGCCTAATAAAAAATTTAGATTGTGGATGAACCTCAAATAGTCAAGTACAGCTTAGGATGTTCTTACTGGAACAAAATTCTAAAAGTTTAAAAAAATCTCTGTTGGAAAGTGAAGCTTAGAATATCTGGTGTTTGATATTTTTAAATATTAATTCCTCATTTGAACTTGTCTGTGTAAATGGGAGGTTACTACAACTAATATTTTGAGCTGAGATTTATCGTTTTAGATTAGAGGAAAACAGGAAATGGTCTAGTTAGCTGCCACGAGTCATCGAAACATGGGTTATTTAGAGCAAAATTTTGTAGGCTCTTTTGCTATGGTTGGCAAAGTCAAAACGTTTTATGGTTGAATAGAACCAATCAAAAAATGTTTTTTGAAATTTAGGGGTCTATAAGCAGAAGCTGACATAATAAACGGTATCAGCAAACTGACACATACTTTCTCCCAACAACCTTTATCATGGGTAAGCGGTAGAAGTCTAAGTAACTATGCTATTCTATTGGGATGGTTCCCAAAAGTTGCAATAACTTTTGAACCGTAATTGTTTCAGCAATGGGGGTTGCACTTATTTGTTTAGAATTATAAGGACCATAATACATTAATTTTAATCAAAACTGGCTTTTTTCCAAAAATCCGATATTTTCTTATTTTATGGGAAATAACACAAGTTACAATAACCTTTGAACCGTACTTTTTACGGAAATTGGATCTGTACCATTTTGTTAAAAATTGTCAGGACCATAACATATTAAATATAATCAAAATCGACCTTTTTCCTAAAAACCAAAAACCAAACATGCATCATGCCTTGTTACGAAATTGCTGAATTCTAATTGGTTATTTGTTAACTAGATATCAGGGTTTGCATTACTCCATTACAGGGTCAGAGTTTTTTTTCTGTTTCCAATGTCAGTTTTCAATCTTTGAAACCTTTATCAACTGTCACGTTTTGCACTTAAATACATGCATCTAGTACATGGTTTGTAGATTAAAATTATGTATCCAACTCAATTATAGGAAAGAAATATTGCTTGCAGTTTGTTCCTAGGCTCCTCAATTGAAAACAAAAAAAGTTATTTATAGTCTATAACCTTATTCAATTTAGTTATTAGAGGGCAAGCTTTTCAAGAATTTGTGAGAGTAGTTAGTAAAAAGCTTTGTATCGTACCATATTTTGTATATGTATGTTTTATATGCATAATATTTTTGTTATATTTTTTGAGTCTTATTTAATTATTGTAATTGTTTTTTATTACCGGGTCTATACTCCATGTGCAAATTTAAAAAATATTTTACATTTGTTTGTTGTTTTTACTGTAGGTTTCCATTCTAAAAAGACATTATATTAATGACTCCACACTAGATGTAACATTTTGTATTCATACATGAATATTGTGTTAAATGTTATATTCTGTGAATATTGAATGTTTGTGTTTGTAATTTACATTTAGGGAACTCATAATACTCTCTTGATTTCCTCGTGAAGGATAACTTGTACAAATTTTATTAAATTTTAGCTTTTGTAAATTTTAGTTTTAGTCATAATCAAAGTCTTACTTTTCCTTCCTTTTCCTTTGCCTGTTGTATATATTCAGTTTTCCTTTGTTGTTGTATTCAATTGTACATAATTTTATGTAGCTCATTTCTCGCGTATTTGGTGCAGTCATAGCGAGTATGTTTTCTGTACAAAGGTATGGGTTATTTTAATGTAAATTTTCTTGTAATCATGGATAAATTATAATTGTATTTAAATTTAAATGGGTTTTCTGTCGAACCTTACTTTTCCTTGATTGATAAAATACCCAGTAAGAAGGGACAGTTTAGCATTTAGCTGCCCCTAGTTGGCCCAATAATTTTTCCACCCCCTTTTCAGGTTAATTTGCTTTCCTACAAACCTGTATTTAAAAATGATATTATGCCTATATGTTAATTGCTCAAATACCACTCCACAATGCAAGTTTTTTTGAAGACTTAACTTGGTATTGTCCTTATACAAATTCTGTCTTAAACACTTTTAGTTATTTTAATTTTACGTATCAAATAGTCAGCTCACGTTTGTGGGACTGGAACGGTCTAACCCGAAAAAAAAACTCCTGCAACAATGCATGGCCATTGCTCCTGCCACAGTGGCTTTAATTTCAAACCAAAAACATGAACTCCGTACAGTACGTGATATTATGGATTACACATACTCCCTTGGTGGATTTGTCATCCTGTTGGATGAGCGGAAGACAACTCTTGTTATTTAAGTTATTTAACCAGATGAAACATTAAACCATATATAGTCATTAGTCGTAAAAAATAGCTTTTACCCTGGTTATATTTCAAGAAATTTAAACATGTCATAAAATTAACCCTAAAATGATAGAAATAAAATTTTGTGGACACAAGCTTCCAGTATCACTGGGGTCAAAAACAAAGAACATGGATAAATTTCTAATTCAGCAAAAAAGAGCTTTAAGAATAATGTTTCATTTAAAATCAAAAGATTATGATTTTTTATCATAGTCAAGATTAATAGAATTAAATAGATATATACCTGAAAATTATATTTAGAAAAATCTTTGCTGGACGTGGTTATTCTAGGATATAGTAAAACTTACTAAGATTATAAATGTGAAAGTTTGTGTGTTTGTTTGTTTGAAGTTCAATCACGCATTAACTATATTTCTACTAGTTCAACTAAAAGACCTTCAGGCAAAACAGGTAAAATTAAATTATTGTATAATACAGGTCTTGTCACTGGGTTCAAACAACATTATACAGTATTATCTATTTACTATGTCCTATGTATACTAACTGTACATCGGATGGTACGATTGAGTAACATCAGGGTGTATAATTTTATCATGTTAATGTTACTTTATTGTTTTTGGATTAATTTGATCCAAAAAAAAATTTCCACACAGACTTCCACAGACTTCCTGCTGGTTTCTGACTGCTCTTCCACCCTGATTGAGTTTGTTGATTCCTCAATCTTTCAACAGTTGGGAAAGTAATGTGTGTTTCAGACTGGGGTGGTTTCTTGTCAAGCTTCACAGGATCAGGTTCAGGTTTGGGTTCAGGATTGGGTTTGAAGTACAACTCCCTGGGAACGTCAACAAAAGTTTCTCCTTCGCCATGGCGGACCTTCAGTTTAAAATGCTCGAGATCATCTGATTCATAAATTTCCCCTCCTTCTTTTTTGTTATACTCTTTCTTTATCCAGGCGGAATCGGTCATATGGTTCAAAGTAGCTTTCAATTGAACATATCTTGTTACCAGATCGCCTAGTTCAGATTGACATCCTAAATAATTATTACGTGTTTCATCTTGGTGATCAGGGGTTTGTTCATAGAAGAGTTTGGCGCATTTAATGTCTTTAAAGTAAATTTGTTGTTGTAACTCGTCAGTTGTTTCCCCAACAGATGTGGAAAGTAGGAAAAGGAGAACCACCTGAAACCACACACAAAAACTAAATTTATAAAAAAATATAGCCTAGTGCAAAATTAAATTATACTGTATATATAAATTATTATGTAATACTACTGGGTATCCCAGAAAGAAATGCAAGTTTAAAACGAAGAAATAGAAAAATTGCTTTATTTACAGCAATTTTTGCAAGAATACCTGTTTGTACACTTCAGGGAAATTTCTTGTGAAAGATTACATCATCCAGATGTAGACCCCTCCGGCGCTGGCACTCCACCAAACAAAACCTTACAACTGTGAATACTCTATGGCAGAGTTCTGGTGTGATGGCTTTAAATTTCCTCACAAATATTTTGCTTCAGATGATCGAGGATAGCTTTGTTGTACACCTGACTTTTTAGATAGCCTACCCCCACAAAAAAATTCACCAAATCTGGAAATGTCTTTCCCACGAAACAGCTTCCTTATTGCAGTCATGGAGTCCCCTGCTGTATGACACTTAGCTCCATCCTGTTGGAACTACAATCTTTGCCTGTTAGCCCGAGGTAATGTCTGCAAGAACGGCTGGACTGGAAATGATCAGTAATCATTGTTATATGTACTGGTGGGAATTTACTGACACAGTGTTCCCTGTGTTATCCTCTAAGATATACGGCCCAATGATGCCTGTTTGAGTCATCCCCACCCAGTTTGTGTTTCTCCCTTGGGCTTTCTGCAGACCAATATATAATGGCAGTTTTGCTTATTCACATATCCATCGAGATGGAAATGTGCTTAGGTCAATAAATATTATGTTATTGAAATTTCTATATTGACGAAGCATCTCGTTTGAGTAGTTAATCCAAAGCGGGTAGTCAGTCTCTTTCAATGCTTGTACTAACTGAATTTTGTACGGGTGTAACTTCAAATCTTGTTTCAGTACTATATTCACAGTGGTTCAGGGTAAATCAAAGCAGCAGCGTATTTTCTTACTGATTTATGATCTATGTGGATTATCCTTCACAGCATCTCGAACACACTCGTTTGTTCAGAAGGTACTTCTCTATGGCGACCGATGGGACGAGCTAGGGTTCATAGTTGATCTTGTGGCTTCAAATTTGCGCACCCAGCAAACTGACCGTGCAAACCCAGTTCACTGATGGCGTTTGGTTGATGAGATCATAAAGTCTGTATTGAGCGCGGAAGGGAAGTGTCCTAAAAATGTCACATGAGAAAGCGTTTGGTAATACACAACATGGCTACAAACCCCTGATAAGCTTCTTATCTTATCTCTCTTGGATATTCAGCTTTACCCAGAATAAAAGTGCACTAGTGTACCTGTTGATCGAATTCGAGCAAATGCTAAGAATCAAGGGTGTTATTTTAAAACGAATAACAGTCATAATTTCTTATGACTTTGAAATATACGACTCAAACATTATGGAAATACTCAAGATGTACATAACAGATCGATATAATCAACATTTATTATAAATAGTGCTTTCTACAAATAGCCTTAGTCATCCGCATTAGGTTTCCAGACATATATTATGTGTCTAAAAGCCTAACAGCACGACACCCTTCCCCATACCGCCCTGAGCGATAAGGATCATTGAGATTCGCTCTAACCTTTCCTCTCCCCTTAATGGGCAAGTTTTCATTCCTTTTCTTAGTTTGTTTGTTTCTTCTTTTAAATTTTAAAGCCTTTATGTATCCCTGGTTTTTCATATTTCCCAGCTACTTATTTATTTTTAAACGTCTCAATTGTTTCCTTGTCACTCATCATGTTTTGTTTTCTCATCTCTAGACCTATCTTATCCAAGACTTATTCCTGTTCTCTCATATTTTTCTCCTGAAATTAACAATTTATAAATACGTGACTCGTGGTTTTTATTTCTCCACATCTACATACTTCCACCATGCGAAATCTTCACAAATTCGCCTTGAAATTTTCCATGTCCTGTTCTCCCAATCTTGTTCCAGTCTCTTTCTGATGTTAAGTATATATCCGAACGTTTACCTTTAAAACTTTAACATAAAACACTCTGCTCCCAACGCATTTGCCACTCATCTAATATCTCCTCTCTTCTGTTTCCGATGTAGTCCTACCCACCTGTCTTCCAAAATCAACAGCTTATGCAGTATGCAGCGATTATCCAACAGTCCTAAATAGAATGTGAAATCTTGATGCGGCTGTTGGAGAGCACACAAATGCAACACGGAAGGGTGCTTGCTGTATTTGGCTATCAACGACAATAGTATTACTGTATTTGTATTTCGTTCGCGTCTAACAGTTAAACCATTATGTCAAACTTTTTGGGGTTATGTTTTGATTTTGTGCAAAATTTTAGTATAACCAGCTGTTTCAAATATTAGTGTCAAATTCAAAGTACAGTTTTCATCTGTTCAAATGTAAACAAACATTTTCTCCCTAAGAATAACATGGAAACTTTGATGGCCACTGGGGCAGAGCAGTGATGGAATTCCAAAGTTTTTTTGTTTGATGACAAAACTACATGCTATAAGACCTTTCTAACGACACCTTGGACATGGTGATCGGTAGCACCACCACTCCAAAACAATTATGACAAAAATATGCCTAGCGTATTAAATATATAGATTCCTTTCTGGGAACCCACTATATTAACATGGGCCGATTGGACGGATCACGAAATTGATGGTGTATAAACGTATCCCATGAAATTCTACACGTATGTACCAAGTTTCGTGGCAATCGGTTCAGCGGTGTCTGAGTTTATCACTGCCAAATATATATATATACATCTTTTATACTTATAGATTTAAGAATCTTAAAAGCTGGTTCAATTAAAGAATTTTGATTCTGTGATGTTCAATAGCATCAAAGATTTAATAGGTTTACCAACTAGGTGCAGCACTATTATTTTTTTAAATTTCATAACAGCTAATTTGCAATCAAAAGGTGAGTGAGCATAGCGAACGAACTTCAACCTGGAGGTGAGTCAGCGTAGCAAACGAGCTAATCTGAAGGCAAGTGAGCGCAGCGAACAAGCTTCAACCTAAAGGTGAGTGAGCTTAGCGAACGAACTTCAACCAGGACGTGATTGAGCCATGCGAACGACTTCATCTTGAAAATGAACGGAGTATTTGACATAAAACCACATTAGGACAGGGCGACGTCTGTCGGGCCAGCTAGAAAAGTAATATAAGTATTTGAACATTTTTTGCATAAAAAGAAATCAAATAAGTATATAAACTATCATACGTACAAACTGTGGCGAAAGAGGATGCGAGCACTGAAAGATTTCACTTTTTACTCAAAGTGTATTTGATATTTCATAACATAAGCTATCAAAATGTGGCTTTATGATATAAAAAAAAATAATGAG